GGTGCCCCCAAGCCCTGACAGGGCAGGGGGTGACAACAGCTCCCCGTGGCATGGCTGTCCCCAAGCCCGGCAAAGCAAGGGGTATCCGGGGGATCCCGATGACGGTGACGCAGCCGTCCCCAACCCCGGGATGTCCCCATTGGTGACACCGTCCCCGTTGGTGCCCCCAGCGCAAACCGTCCTGCGTCGCCTGTTACAAATTCGGCACCGGCGACGTCCCCAAGGTGCTGGACAAATACCACAACTGCGGCCCCAGCCACCACCTGGCAGCCAAGGTGAGTCCTGTGCGTCCCCCGTCCCCATCCCCACGGTGTCCCCACGGTGTCCCCACGGTGTTTTCCCCCGCAGGAGATCCGGCAGCGCGACGAGGCCGAGTGCCGGGCGGTGGAGGAGGCCGGCAAGGCCGGGGACGCGCTGTACCTGCCCGGGATGTTCGCCTTCTCCAGGGGGCTGCCCGCGTAGGGGACAACCCCACGGCCCCGTGGGGTGAGTGCCGGGTGACACGGGGGTCACCCAACCGGGGCTGTCACCGCTCACCCCCTTCCCGCTCGCCGACACCGTCACCGCGTCACCGTCCTGGATGTGTCCCCGTCCCCCTTCAAGCTCCACAATAAACCCCGGCTCTGGCTCCGCTGTTGTTGTTCCCGCCGGGGGTCGCCGTCACCGTCACCGTGTCACCGTGTCACCGTCACCCGTTGTCCCCGAGATGGGGGGGACGCAGCGGGGACCCCCCCCCACGCGGCTCACGAACCGGGCGAGGCACACCACAGACACCGCACCTTTACTGTGCACTTGTGTGACAGCCCCCGGTCCCCACCACGTCCCCACGCTGTCACCCGGTCCCTGTAGGGACCCCCAATTTCCCCTCCACAGCACCCAGAGGTGCCCAGTCCCGGCTTTGTGGGTGCTGCTCCGGTGCAGGGCCCGGTTCGTCCGGTGTCACCGTCACGAAGGTTGATCCAGTCCGGTTGATCCAGTCCGGTTGATCCAATCCGGTGCCGGTGCGGGGGTCTCTGCCAGGGTGGGGGTGTCCCTGGGGCAGGGG